TAAGTAAGTCACATTTGCTTATATCAGGTTTTTGAATTGAACTGGCGGATAGTTGTTTCATTACCAATCGTACCACATCTCCTTATTTATATATATACGAAAGCTTTATTCATATTTTTTGGTGTATTGTTGAATGTGTAAAGATGCAGCAATTGTAATACATTTTAAAATACAGCACAAGAGATGCAGATTATATAAAACCAATCTCACTATACAAATCCTTGATAAAACTTATAAGTCGAAGACATATATACTGACAAACGCCATGGCAAAAACTTAAAAACGACCAAATGACGTACAACAGACTATAAAACTTGACTATAGCATTTAAAACACATAAGAAGCACCCAGACAGTCGAACAGAAATTAAAAGAATAAACAATTTGTAAAGATTTTCAACTAGGCCTACAGCTATATTTTCTTATCGTGTAACAGTAGGCTAAACATAGGTTCTGGTATTATGTGATAAGTCATTTTTTCATGCAGACCCAGTTTTATTGATACCTTGAACTTAAAGTGGTTATATGCATATCAGCCCAGATTATGTGTGTAATTTTATTGCACAATTCAACAATACACGTTCTAAACAGGTTAAATTCAATTTAAAAATTTACAAATTCAGATCTACTGGCATTCAACACCCAATTACTTACTTGCTGTATATTGCTAACTTTGATTGTATATTGTCAATCCCTCCAACAGACTATAAAACTTGACTATAGCATTTAAAACACATAAGAAGCACCCAGACAGTCGAACAGAAATTAAAAGAATAAACAATTTGTAAAGATTTTCAACTAGGCCTACAGCTATATTTTCTTATCGTGTAACAGTAGGCTAAACATAGGTTCTGGTATTATGTGATAAGTCATTTTTTCATGCAGACCCAGTTTTATTGATACCTTGAACTTAAAGTGGTTGTATGCATATCAGCCCAGATTATGTGTGTAATTTTATTGCACAATTCAACAATCGCGTTCTAAAAAGGTTAAATTCAATTTAAAAATTTACAAATTCAGATCTACTGGCATTCAACACCCAATTACTTACTTGCTGTATATTGCTAACTTTGATTGTATATTGTCAATCCCTCCACATCGTGAATACGCCATGCGAGGTGTTGGATAAGTTTGATACAGGGTGGCGGCTTCGAAGCGTAGAAAAAAATCCAGGTAAATGAAAGTGTAAAATTTTGTTGTTGAAAATTTTAAGTACTAAATTCCTAAATTTGTACTTAACTCCATTCTACGGGTAACATGGTTGTTTGATATGAAAATAGGATAAAAAGCATCCGGAAAAATTAATTATCACGTAATAAGTATTCGTAAATGGATATGAAATAACTTAACAAGGAATAAGTATTGGTAAACGGACAGAAAGTCGCAGGACAAAGGTTTAAATTAATTATTGTACAATTGTTTAAATATATGAGAGAAAGTTCTTGACGAATTGACTTTATTTATAGATAAATGTATTTAGTTGAGGAAATGATTAATTCGCCTTCAAATAGTTTTTTTTTATCAATAACTTATAAAAAGGAGACATTTTTGACAGCATGACTTCAGTTAATTACCAAACCACTTTGGCAGATTGTTTTCTTAACAATCATTGTTCATATTAATATTCAAAAATAAATTTTGTTTACAAGTCCGTTTCCTTTTAAAAATGTTTCAGAAAAATACTGAAACGTTTTTAAAATTAAGTTTATTCAAAGAAAAAAAATATCCGAAAACTGAATTGTGACTTTTTACTTGTTACTTTTTGTTGTACGTTCTAAGTGTCAATCCTAGCAAACACAAATTTGGAAATAAAATCGATTACAATGTAATTTTATAGAAGGAAAAAGGGGGGTTAATGAACAAATAATTACTAAACACTCACATACTTCTAAAAAGATTTGCATATGTAAGCTGTCTATAGATAATGTTAAATTATTTCAGGAGTTTCAATTAATTTAGGAGAAAAAAAGATTATAAACAGTTTAGTTTTCAACGCCTACTACTACAAAAAATAGTGATTCTTTTTGTAGATTTGGTACTTCAGTTTCGACTCAAAATTTCCTATTGTAATTGTTAGATGCTAGATATTTAGGAGAAGATTGTATTTGTACTTTATGTAATTGTGGTGATATTGGCGACGCGATTCATTATATTATAGCAAGGATTTGTAAAAATCCTTGATTATAGAATGTTCGGCAATAGACGAAAGTAGACAAACCCTATTTAAACGGGGTTTTGATCTCCAAGTCGCCACATTTTACATCGAATAAGATCTATATTTGTTAACGTTTTCAAATGAAATAACTTGAATTGAAAATTTCCCGACTATGTGAAGATTTCTTATATTTCTAAATGGCTTCAATTATTACATACAAAACGAAAAATTTATTTAACTTCTTTTGTAAAAACAATATTTCATGTATTTTTTATAATTTTTCCAAGGAAACGTTTTTTTTTTTTTTTTTTTTGCAAAGTTTACTTGTATGTGTTTATAACCATCATCAATCAGTCCTAATTATTAAAGATCAAACGTCGTAATCAAAATGATGATTGGTATTGAATATGATCATCGGTCATGCATGACGTATCCCAAATAACTTCTTTAATGTTGGTTTGATTTTATCAAAACCAAAATAATAAGATCAAATATTAAATTATCTATCGAATGTATACCCTCAACGCTCACTAAAACATATATACATGTCCTGAGTGACTTTTTATGTCCTGTCTGCACTCAGGAGGTCCTGAGCGGTTTTTAGACGTACCATTAATTTATAGCCATATATTTGAAGCTGTTCTTAATTATGTACTTGTATCAGACAAAAAGACTTTCCAATGAACTTAGTTCTAGTTATCTTAGTTTCTAGTCACAGGCACTTGTCTCAGAAAAAAAATTCCTATATACTTTTAATGTTATATTAAGCAGGGACTTTTTATACTAAGTTAGTATAGAAAGTCCCTGCATGTATTAAGGTATATAGGAAACAAAATTCTGAGACAAGTGCCTGTGGTCCTAGTGTGAAATAAATCCACTGGGAATTGGCCTTTTTAAACACATCTATATATACGTTTTCTCAAGGGTTTGTACATGTAAAGTGAAATTATGTTTACTCAATGCGTAGTTACATATGTTTATTTGCTACTTTTTTCCTCTTTATTTTATATAAATGATTTTTTTTTTTAATTTTAACATTTTATCTTCGAAAGAATTGTAGTGTTGCAATAGGGAATGGACACAGATACTTAACTACATTTAACGAAAGAAATTTTGTGTAATGTCATTAATCTGTATTACACATAGACAGGATGTTCTCTAGAAAACTATGATATTTCTAATACGTTATACACACCCCAGGGTACACGCACTGTCGTAATGGAAAATTACTGCATGCTTTAATTACCTGTAATCAGCCATGCCACGCTGACTGACCATGTCATTACAGTTTAAAAAGTTTTTCCTCAGATCAAAACGGAATATTCATTTTAACTTTAAAATTTAAAACTTTAAAAAGTATACTTTGATATAATTATGACGTAAAAGAATTTAACAATTTAATAATCGGAATTTTCCAAAGATTAAGATACAATTATATTTATTATTCTGGGACTGACAGATATATCACAGGCACTTGTCTCAGAATTTTTTCCTATATACTTTTATTAAAGTATATAGGATTTTTTTTTCTGAGACAAGTGCCTGTGAGATATATACATGCATAAGTCCCAGACATATATAATTGTAAATCAAAATGATTTACTAATTACTGGGAAATAATATAATGTTTCAGTTATGTTGATGTCACAAATACACATGAATTATTTGATGATGCATGCTGGAATTTCTTATCTAACTGCATGACTGTGAACACAGACATATATATATATCCATTTACTGATTCTATAATTTCTTGAGAAAAAAAATCAGGAGAGAAGTCAGAGGGAAGTGAAACAAACATTTTAAGCTTTTATTAAAAATTGTTGGGAAAACAATAAAATACGACACTGAGTTTTGAAAAAAAAGTTTATGATTGGTCTTAATTTTTTTTTTTTAATAAAGATAGAAACAATTTTTTGTCCCAAGAAAAAAACCCAATGCCCCCTTTTTAGCCAAACCGACACACGCCGATGAATGAAGAATTCCAAGTAGGGTCACAAGGTCACATTTTAAAACTTTTTCAGTCGCCCAGTCTCAAAAAGCAATTTTGACTGGCATTGTTTTTAATCGAATTATGTTTTTGCAGGTCAGGTTGCAAAGTGGCAGGTCGGATTTGACAATGTCAAGTTGACAACGGTCCTAAAAAATATCCGAAAAAACGTTGAATCAAACGATATGAACCTATGCAGTTTTATATTATAAGACTGACACACACCAGTGTGCTAACTGTGCTGGGTGAGGTGCTGTAACTTGATATACATGTATCATTAAGTTACAGTACTGTTAGGATTTGCCTGCCTTTTTACAGGGACTGTCTATACTAACTGTTAGTATAGACTGCCCCTGGCTTGAAAGTATGGTTCTCTGCTCATCAACGGGTGCGTGATTAGCAAATCAAATCGTATCTTGTAGCAGTAAAATACCTCCGGTGGGGGAAGGGCACTTCAATAGGTGCTAGGTAGGGGATGTCGTTGGGGTTCTGTTACCCCACCCTATTCATATAATTTAGATCTTAAAAATGTATACCTTTTCATATATTGCATGGGTAAAATTGTAACCTTTTCCCATATTGGTTGGTTTTCGTGGGGTGTGTTGGAAAAGTGGAATATTTAAGGCTAAGATTCTGTATGTAATGTTTACTTACGGCGAGACTTTCGGCTTTGAAAAAATGACAGGGCTTTTCATATACAAGTAATTGGACCTTATCATTTATTTCTGATAGTTTTCCCCACCTATTCCCATATTTTCAAGCTGGGAAAAGTGACATATTCCAGCGGCACGTCCTATCACCTTGTATATAGGAAGTGCCCCCCACCCCCACCCGAGTAAAATACACAAATGTATAATACTTTAATTCAGGAGCACAGTCTGTCTTTACCGTAAATAACTTCGAGATTAATATGTAAGTTTACTTTGTTAATCGATGTTCCTGTAATTCAGATTTAAATTTATTTGTGAGACCCCCGTCACTATTTATATTCACTCAAAGAAAGGGGTTCTCCGTTACTGGGAAAATCCAAGGACGTATTGTGTTAGTTATACGTCCTTGGAAAATCTTATCTGATTCAGGATCAATTTATCGGTTACACTCCCCTATCACCAGTGATTCTTTGTGAACTGACATTCTGAAAAAGGTATACTGTTGACTATCAATTTGCATGATTAGTTACAGATGTCAACTCGGACTACTGCAGAAGACAATAATTCAGTTCACTGATTTAGATTGAATAATATTGGTTCGGTTAATCCCCTCTTCCCCAAACAAGTAAGAATTAGGTTAGGGGACGACCATTTGATATTCTGGGGGGGGCCAGGAGGATTTTGAAAATAAATAACTCAGCCTTGATAATCACAAAAATAAATGGTTTGTTCTGTGGTAGTTTGAAAATAAATTACCTGACTTGCAATTTATTGAAAATAAATAACTCAGCAGGTCTAATCGAAAGTATGAGATGGCACCAGATTCTTCATAAATTCATCTTTTTTCCAAAAAAAAAATCGAGAAACACTTCCCATATCTTTTAAATTAATAATAAAAGTATAAATATTATTTAAATATACTTGCTGTGACCTATAATGGTTTACTTTTATAAATTTTGACTTGGATGGAGAGTTGTCTCATTGGCATTCATACCACATCTTCTTATATCTATTGAAATGTCAGAAAATTGGTTTCATTTAACTTGAGGTTAATTGTCTCAGGAACACTTACCTCACTTTTATTAAATCAGGGCCGTAACTACATTGAGACAAATGCCTCATGTAGGAAATTTCAAAACCAAACGCTTGTCTCCATATCAAATTGTGTTCACCGTGAGTGCCTTGCAAGAAGCAAGTTCTGTTCTCCCTCAGATGTAGCCCCTGACTTATCGGGATCAATGTTTCTTATTTATTTGTCTTTTGTTCATTGATTGCCCTTCTGTATTCTGTTAGTGTTGCATTCATTTTGTAATTTAGTAATTTTATTATTAACTTGATCATGAGTTTAAAAAAACACAGCAGCCACAGACTTAACTATGTGAATTACATTTTTGCTTTATCATGCATATTTGTCTTTTGATGTTGTTCCTAGAAACTTAAGTCTTACACTGAATCTATAACGTGATTTTGCTTTGAGACCAAAATATTGTCATAAAATTATTAAAACAGAACTTGCATTTTCAGTTTAAGAAAGGGTCTGGGGAACACCCAGAAGGCATGATTTTGCATCATTTGTTCTATAGCTTCTTGGGCCTTCAGCAGTTCAAAAACCCTTCAAAAAAATTTTGCCTCGCTCTGCTCGGCAAAACATGTTTGCCAATACTTTTAAAAGAGCCTTAGTTACAAACAAATTTTAATACTGTGTATGTATGCAATACATGTATATGCATTGGGGAATATAGGAGATTCATTTCTGCAGAGGATAATAATTAATTCTGATTAAATGGTACATAATGACTTGGCTATACATGAATTATTTATAATAAACAAATAATTTAAAAATTGTATGTTTTCGAATATAAAAATATAGTTGTGAAAATAAATAATCATGCAGTCCCTTGCTTTAATGAAAATGAAAAATCTTGCTTCAATAGTGCAGAAAATAGATAATCTGTCCTCTTAGTTTACAAAAATAAATAACCGATCCAAAACAAATCCTCCTGGCCCCCCCCAGAATATCAAATGGTCGTCCCCTTACATCTTTTGGTAGTCCAAATAATTATGACGTCTAGCTGAGACTACTATAACTATGTGTTATAGTAGTCTCAGCGTCTAGCAAGGCTATTTTATTTTTTTTATGCCCCCGCCGTAGCGGTGGGGGCATTAAGTTTTACCCTTGTCCGTCTGTACGTACATACGTCCGTACGTCCCAAAATTGGTTTCCGTTCTCTAACTTGAGTTTGCCTCAACCAAATGTTAAAGTAAAAACTTATACACAATGCTTATTACCACAAAACACAGATCAAATTTGAATTTTGGTGGCGTCACTTTAACCGTTCTAGAGTTATGCCCCTTTATAAATGGAAAAATTGCAAAATTTTTAGTTTCCATTCTCTAACTTGAGTTTGCCTCAACCAAATGTTATAAAACTTATACACAATGCTTATTACCACAAAAAACAGATCAAGTTTGAATTTTGGTGGCGTCACTTTAACCGTTCTAGAGTTATGCCCCTTTATAAATGGAAAAATTGCAAAATTTTTAGTTTCCATTCTCTAACTTGAGTTTGCCTCAACCAAATGTTATAAAACTTATACACAATGCTTATTACCACAAAAAACAGATCAAGTTTGAATTTTGGTGGCGTCACTTTAACCGTTCTAGAGTTATGCCCCTTTATAAATGGAAAAATTGCAAAATTTTTATTTTCTTCTAAATATCAAGTAATTTTTAAAATTGGAATTATCTTCCTTTGTCCATTATTATAGTTGAATCAACTACAATCAATGCTTTATACAATGCAATGTTTAATTTTGACTTCCACTGATAAAACACAGATCAAGTTGAATTTGGGTAGTGTCACTTTAACCATTATTGAGTTATGCCCCTTTATAAATTGAATGATTGCAAATTTTTAGTTTCCATTCTGTTACTTAAGTTTGCCCCAACCAAACATTATGAAACCTATACCCAATATTCATTACCACAAAACTAAGATCAAGTACAAATTTTTTGTTTCCGTTTTCTAACTTTAGTTTGCCTCAACCAAATGTTATGAAACTTATACACAATGCTTATTGCTACATAATACAGATTAAGTACGAAATTTGGTGGCGACACTTTTACAATTCTTGAGTAATGTCCCTTTATAAACATAAAAATTGCTGAATTTTTCGTTTCAGTTCTCTAACTTTAGTTTGTCTCAACCAAATGTTATAAAACTTATACACAACCGTTCTAGCTATAGAGTTATGCGTGTTTACAAATAGAAAAATTGCTGAATTTTTAGTTTCTGTTCTCTACTTAAGTTAGCCTCAACCAAATATTATGAGACTTGCACACAATGCTTATTACCACAAAACTCAGATCAAGTTCAAATTTGGGTAGCGTCACTTTTACCGTTCTTCAGTTATGTCCCTTTATAATTTTTCTATCTATCTATCTTCATATTTCCGCACTCAGTCACAACTTTGCCTATTACGTGCCCAGAAAAAAGTTAAAATAGCCTTGCAAGACGTCTTAATTATTTGGACTAATCTTTTGGCAAATATGGTCGTACCACAGGGGTTTGTTACAATTTGCCGGGTTTTCTATCCTTACGAACCCTGAAAAACTTACCAGGCCAGGTGATAAAAAATCTGTCTCCCCCTTTATCCCCCCAGAAAATCAAAAGGTTGTCTCCTTACACCTACATGACAAAAACATATACAAATATGGTATCACTGCCAATGTGACGGCTCTTCAACAGAAACTAAAAACGTAGAAGTTAACAACTATATAGGTCACCGTACAGATTTCAACAATGGGCTAAAAAGCCAAACTGCGTTATAAGCTACAAAAGGCTAAAATAGATAGACAATATCTGACAAGGGTAGAAATGTTCAGAATGTTGAAAAAAAAAATGTACTGTCCATTTGCATCAAAACTGGCAGCTGACTCATAGGAGTTGTTGCCTTAAATACAGATTTTCACCATTTTTTTTTTTTTTCTTCATATTTCTTGAATTTGCCTTTTTATCTCGAAAACTGTAATAATTAAAGAGAAACTTAAATCTTATTAAAAAGTTATTGCTTTTCAATGATGATTTTGATCCAGTTTTTGCAAAAACTTGGAAACTTTAAATCTTGGGTAAACTCCTTATATTATACTGCCTGGTCTCATGGTAGCGTGTTCACCTCACGTGCAGAAGGTTGTTTATTTTGAACCCAACCGGGTAAAACCAAAGACTTTAAAGTTGGTATTTGCTGCTTCTCCCCTAAGCACGCAGTATTATTAAGGAGTAAGAGCAAATACTGGTTTGTTCAGAGCCAGAATATTGTGTCAAGGTAAGGTGACATGTCTCTCTGAGAACTAGTGTAAGAGATAAATTGTCTGGTCAGACAAATATAGCTAGTATAAAAAGTCCATGGATACAGAATTTACTAGTATATTTAGTCCGATGTCAGTAATTTATGTCCCCAGCCTAATTTTCCTAGTCCATGACATCACTATTCCTAGGTAAAAATGTCCAGTTTTTCTAATACTGTATGCAACATGTCAAGTATATTTGGTGTATGAAAATTTTTAAGGATGTACATGTTAGTCTGGCATGTTTTATTCGACCTTGACCTCATTTTTATGGTTCATTGCTCAATGTTATTTTTTTGTTTTTTGGTCAGTTTTTCTATTTTCTTATTTTCAAATTAGCAATAGGTCAACTATATTTGGTGTATGGAATGATTGTAAGGTGCATATGTCTGACTGAAAAGTTTCATCTTACCTTGACTTTATTTTCATAGTACATTGGACAATGTTTAGTTTTTGTGGTTTTTTTCGGATACTGTAAGCAATAACATGAATAAGGCCCCTATATTTGGTGAATGGAATGATTGTGAGATGCACATGTCTGTCTGGCATGTTTTATATGACCTTGACCTCATTTTCATGGTTCATTGGTCAATGAAAAGTTTGCATTGTTTTGTCAGTTTATCATATGCTTTAAGCAACAGGTAAATTATATTTGGCAGATGTAACGATTGTAAGGTGTGCATGTCTGTCTGGCAGATTCATATAACCATGATCGCATTTTATGGTTCTTTGGTCAATGCTAAGTATTCTTGGTTTTTTATACGACCGCAAAAAATTTTTGCGGTCATATATTGGTATGACGTTGGCATTGTCGTCGTCCCAATACACATTGGTTTTCGCACTCTAACTTTAGTTTAAGTGAATGGATCTCTATGAAATTTTACCATAAGGATTGATTTTGGGGGTTATGGTAGCAACAGTTAAGGAATTAGGGGCCAAAAAGGGGCCAAAAATAAGCATTTTTGTAACTTCCAGACATAACTTGTGTGTTAGTGTATGGATCTCTCTGACATTGTACCACAAGGTTTCATATCACACAGGGAATGCTGGGATTGATTTTGGGGGGTAATTGCCTCAAAATATTAGGAATTAGGGGCAAAAAAAGGGGCAAAAAACAAGCATTTTTCTAGTTTCATGACAATAACTTGTGTGTAAGTGTATGGATCTTTCTAAAATTGTACTACAAGGTTCCATATTACAAAAGGAAAGCTGGAATTGAGTTTGGGGGTAATTGCCCAAAACGTTTAGGAATAAGGAGCCAAAAAGGGGCCAAAAATAAGCATTTTTCTAGTTTCCAGACAATAACGTGTGTTCAAGTTTAAGGATCTCTCTGAAATTGTACTGCAAGGTACCATGTCACAAAGGGAAGGCTGGGATTGATTTTGGGGGCAATTGCTTTAAAATTTTAGGAATTAGGGGCCAAAAAAGGGGCAAAAAACAAGAATTTTTCTAGTTTCATGACAATAACTTGTGTGTAAGTGTATGGATCTTTCTAAAATTGTACTACAAGGTTCCATATCACAAAGGGAAAGCTGGAATTGAGTTTGGGGGTAATTGCCCAAAATATTTAACAAAAAGGGGCCAAAAATAAGCATTTTTCTAGTTTCCAGACAATAACTTGTGTTCAAGTGTATGGATCTCTCTGAAATTGTACTGCAAGGTACCATACCACTAAGGGAAGGCTGGGATTGATTTTGGGGGTAAAAAATCAAAATTTAAGGAATAAGGGGCCAAAAAGGGGCAAAAAACAAGCATTTTTCTAGTTTCAGGACAATAACTTGTGTGTAAGTGAATGGATCTTTATTAAATTGTACTACAAGGTTCCATATCACAAAGGAAAAGCTGGGTTTGAGTTTGGGGGTAATTGCCCTAAACGTTTAGGAATTTGGGGCCAAAAAGGGGCAAAAAAAAAAAACAAGCATTTTTCTGTTTCCAGACAATAACTTGTGTATAAGTGTATGGATCTCTCTGAAATTGTACTGCAAGGTACCATACCACAAAGGGAAGGCTGGGATTGAGTTTGGGGTGATGAATCATAAGGGGGTTCAAAATATTTGAGGGGGGAGATTTTTTTTTCCCTTTTTTTCCTTTTTTTTTTCTTTAAAATTTTCCATTTTAAATTGGTTATTTCTGATTTATATATAAAAGCAAATAATAATGATATGGTTTGAATAGGTAAATTAAAATTTTTTAAGTTCTTAGACCACATTCATTCTGTGTCAGAAACCTATGCTGTGTCAAATATTTAATCACAATCCAAATTCAGTGCTGTATCAAGCTTGAATGTTGTGTCCATACTTGCCCCAACTATTCAGGGTTTTACCTCTACGGTCGTATCAAGCTGCACCAAGCGGAGCATTTTATCAGATATTATAAGCATATGTCTATTTGTTGGTGTATGGCATGACTGCAAGGTGTCATATAAAAATAAGAAGATGTCTGTCTGCCAAGTTTAATATTACTGTGACCTCATTTTCATAGAATATTGATAATATCAAGCAAAAATGATGAGCAAGACAAGATACAAATGATCCAAAATTGTCAGTTGCCTACTCATTATATAATAGTAGTTATTGTCATTAAATGATAATGTTTACCCTTTTATGTGTAGGGCAAGAACATTAAAGATAAAGGGAAACTATAAACAAAAGAAATTATCAACAAAAATAGATTTACAGACGTCAACAAAGCCTAAATGGTAAGTCCACTTCTATAAAAGTTATTGCCCTTGAATAATGATTATTATGAAAATAAGTGGATGTAAGCAATGCAATTACTTATTAGAGGCCAATGATGACCTGTAAATAATGACAGGCAAAATATGGCAGGGTTGATATAAAAATAAGAAGCGGTACGATTGCCAATGAGACTTTTCTCCAATAGAGATCAAATGACATTATATTTAACAAAATTAGTTCACTGTACAGCCTTCGACAATGAGCAAACCCTATACTGCATAGTAATCCATAAAAGGCCATGAAATAACAAATGGAAAACAATTCAATAAAGTCATTTAAAAAGGGCATGGTGTCTATCCATGCTAAACATGCTTGGGGGAAACACCACAAAGGTGAAAGCTAAGTGCCTGATTTTTGCACAAAACAATAAACAAAAAACAAATATGATATATAGCAACAATTGACAACCACTGAATAATAGACCCCTGACTTGGGACAGACACTTACAAAATGTGGCAAGGTTTAACATGTTTGCTGGTGCCAAATCCTCCTCTAATTAAGGACAGTGGTGTAAGTGTCAGTTCACTATAAAATCACTTGAAAAGGGTTTTTTTCTGCTCTTGGGTCAGGTTATTTTGATACATTCCCGTTTTCATTCTCAATTTTATTAACTCATTAGAATGCAACAAAGCAGAAAAACAGTTACCAAAAACACAGACCGGATGTGGCTGGAAATTTATTCTTTCCCTTTAACAAAAAACTCAACATACAGATCTATTAGTACTCACAGTTACTGACAGCTAATTCAAAGCAAATATCAACTAATAAAATAAACATTTAGTGAGCACCCAACCCACCCCTAACCTGGGACAGTGGTTTTAATAACAGCACAACATTTGAACAAACTGTTTGTTGCAATTGGCTTAACTCAAAAGACTGCAACAAGGCACAAAAAACAACTACCGGTAATATGAAAACCATAGACACAAAGCACTGAAATAAGAGTTCTTACAAATTTAAATATTCAAATGAAATTTTTATCAAAATGTACATAAACATGATAAAATAGCCATTTTATTGCTGTATTTCTCTTCATTTATAATTTTTGAGTTTTGTGTATTTGTAGGTCAGACATCTTGATTTTCATGATCATCATTCAACAGGTCAATACTGAACAGCAAACTTAAAGTTGATATTTTTCTACAAAGTGTGACTTTTTTATTAATTTGAAATGGAATGTGTTTTTTTTCCTACATAAGAAAGAGGAAATTTCAACATAATGACTATAAACAAAAAGGAGTCATATCATCATGATCATAGATGCTCAAGAACTTAATCATGTAAATGCAACAACGTAATTATCAATTGAAAGAAAGGAGGAATGAAAAAATATATTAGTATTTTGTTGTCCAAATGAACTTGCTTTGTCCACTCATTTAAATCGCTCCATCCAATAAAGATGTACGGAGGAAGATTTTTGAAGAACAGATTGCAAAAATGTTTTGTCTAAGAATTGTAGGAGTATTCTAGTGGATGAAATAATTTATTTACTTGACTCTTATTTAGTGGACTGAATAATTGTTCATAGCAAGCTGAAACAAGAAAACTAAAAATTAACAGGAAAAATGTTTATTTTATAAATTTACAAATATAAATGTAATATAATGAACACCACAAAGGAATAAGATTCAAATCGTTTGCATATTCATGTATTGCAATGGAACTATAACAAAGAAAACTTTACCTCATGAAAAGAGTAAACTATTAACTGTGCTTTGTCAATTTATTCAGTCAGAATATGAAATATTTTTTTCAGTTCTATTTTTCATAATAAAACAAAGAAGACAAAGATTTCAAATCAATATTTTTTTCTTTTATTAAGACGTCATCATTTTATTTCAGTTAAAGGATTTTATTTTTTTACTTTAAATATTATTATATTTCCAAAATAATAATAATCTTTATTGTCATATAAACAAATTCAAAACATGTTTGTGACAAAATGAAAAAAACCAAAATACACTCATATATATATTATAAACTTTTTACTACCAATCAGAATTCATTGTAACATACACATTACTGTATATTTATAATTTGAATTCCATAGGATTTTATTTTGTCCCATGGGATATTAAAAATCCCATGGGATAATTATAGTCCCATGGGATTTTTTTTGTCCCATGGGACAACAAATATCCCATGGGACTACAATTATCCCATGGGACCCAAAAAAATCCTATGGGATTTAACCAAAATCCCATGGGATAATGGTCAATCCCATGGGATTTGCCCTATCCCATGGGATATTGAAAATCCCATGTTTTTCAAAATCAAATTACAAAATATATATAATAATAACAGCAGAAAAGCAATGAAATAATTGAATCCCATGTAATTCCGCACATTTTGGTTATTTACACGACACTGTAGGTCTAAGGAGAGGCGGCGGCGGATTTGCAAATGAGTGTTTTGCAAATTAAAAGTGTCCAGTGTTCGTAGATCTACAGTAACTACTACAATTATTTTTAATATATTATAATAGGCATCATGATAGAAATACGTAACTGTCATTAATGAAAAGATAATAAGTAAATGTGAATGTGATGTACAACATGTTAGATATACGTTTTTTTCTGTGTTATGGTTTATATCATTCGTATTGTTTCGATCAAATGAACACAAAAATAAAAACGCTTCTGAATTTTTCATCGAGTTTCTTGTATGTTAAATTTAAATCATCAAGGATTTAGGTATAGAAGTCTGTATTCCCAAATATATTGGTGCAGAATAAAACGCCAATGCACCCTTTTTTAAACAATAGCTTTGTTTTTTTGTTATTTTTTCCCCGGTAGGGTAAATTTCCAATGAAATTCAATGTTTAACTTACTGACATAAACGAAATTTTAATGTTATATTTACTAAATGTCGACTAGTATTCATACTTCAAGCTGTAAAATATAATAACAAAAATTTAATTTCATCAAATTAACTCCCTCAATTTTATATTTATATATATTACCTTGCCATATTCAGGGCTCTGAAGGATAATAACCATTACATATTTAACTTTTTATTTATCAACAATATAAAAATTAAAAAAAATATATATATATAGACTACTTTGGATATTTGTCTCAATGGCAACCCTACCACGTATCTTTATCTTTATAGTCAGTTAGAATATCGTAAGTCTAGACAATCATGAGAGTAAGAACAGCTGACATTTCAAGAAATGTAAATGAACAAGACCTGGAGAGTTTACAATGAAATCATATCTTGATATACATGTGATTTGAACCGAATCATAACCAGTAAAAATTGGCACGACCAGAAACTTGACAAACCCGATATTTATATTAACTGGATGATAGTGAACATGTTGGACTTAATACGAAGTAAATTTTATAAACATACACTTGAATTTGAGACACTGTAGTGATTAACAAATTGATGTTGGTCATTGAAAAGGAAATTCCCCGTACGGAATTAAAATTATCTACACTGCACGTGTTGCATTTACGGCAAATAAAATTGTAGATAATTATACGATTATAAATTATCTACCGTATAGTGACAACAAAAGGAAATTATTACGGAAATCGATGTATAAATGTGTCCTACTTCCTGCATAATCCAACAATTGAACCGAATCATAACCAGTAGAAATTGGCACGGCCAGAAACTTGACAAACTCTATATGTATCAAATTGTGGTTAAACGTTATACCTACAACACCATAAAATTTAATTATTTACACGGTCAATTTTAAATGAATACACAGTGAAACTGTGTCATCCTCTGAAGATGTACATTCTTTTAGGGTTATGCTTGTATACATACAATCAGTTACTCCAATGTTGAAGGACGTACAGTGCCCTTCATTTGTTTTCTTCCTTGTCATACGATCGTTATACGATCTCTGGTGGATAGCCGTCTCAATGGCAATTACACATCTCCTTTTCTTTATACTTACTACCTTGAAGATGTTTCCCGCCTATCGTTAAATTTTTAATCATCCAAGGAAAGATTTAGATGAAGAAAACTGCAATAGTACAAATATATTATAACTTATTATCTAATAAAGGGGAATACATTAAATTCTCTAGAAATCAGCCCCTGCATATTAATTCCTCATGCACCATCATATGTCATAAAGTAAACTTATTGTTTTAACATGCTTTGAAATTATCTGCTGTTGTACTGTTGTTTCATAAAAGTATACCCCACATCTCCTTTTATCCGTATATAAATAAATTAAACTCATCACAGAAACCAGGATTAAAATTGTGTACGCCAGACGGGCGTTTCGAATTCAAAAGACTCTTCAATGACGCTCAAATCAAATAAAAGTCATGATAAGGACGAACACGAGTTGAACCATATTTCAATCGGCGATTCTAAACATTTCGTTAATCGGATATAGGAGAGTACTTCTAGAAAACAAAGGTTCATTCATGACTAAGAGACTAGACACTGATGTTCTACTAGTAATCTGATATATTATTGCCTAATCATACAAAAAATTAATCCATGGTCTTTCTTAAAACATACAAATTCATACAGGTTGATAAGTAAAATTCAAGGACACTCAACGATCTGCTTTTGTTGTGTTATTGACGTGTTAACATGTATGCATTTTATCTCTCATCAGCTTGTGATGCCAAGTTCTTCAGTAGTGCATCAGAGTCTTGAGGTTTGTCGTTTGTTTAGGATTTCGCTTGCAACCTTTAACTATTGAATATCTTTAAGCGGTTCTAAAGTTCTATACAGATAATCAAGACTTACAAATTTGAAGTCATGTATTATTTAAAATTTTATATTTTAAGGACACTTGCCCAAAGGCCACTTAAGCTTTGGTCGTCACTTGGTGTCATTTAGTCCGATTTTCACCTTTTGAACATCTTCTTGAGAGCCACTGTGCAGAATGAACCTTAACTGGGGATAGATGTTCTTCACAAGATCATATCTGAATGGTATGACTGGTGTTTATTCGCCCCAAAAACGTGGTCTTCATGACATTTTCTAATTTCTGCTTGGGTAACTTAGGAAAATCTCTGAACCAAATGGTACAAAACTTCACAGCTATGTTCCTTTGAAAATATTCATTTTTTGTTTTGGCTATCGGAAATTCAAAATTAACGCATGCGGAGGTCAACGTTTACATTGAAATCATATCGTCAATTTACATTCTTTTTGTTTTCAAAAATGGATGCAGTGAAGTTCAGTAAAAGAGATGCGAAAGATACCAAATGGACATTCAAATATATAAGTCGAAATTAAACTGACAACGATATGGCAAAAAAAGAAAGACCAAAATACAAAACACAAAACACAACATAAAAAAATAAAGACAAAGCAACACGAGTGCTTACTCAACCATGAGGTGATCTAAGGTGCTCCGGAAGGGTAAGCAGATCCTACCCCACAGGCGGCACTTGTCGTGTTGCTCATGTATGTACAAACCGGTCGATACGTCTAATTTAATAGGTCACATTCGAGGAAAATTGGTACTGAAAGAAAGTTCAAAATGACTTTAAGGGACAGAAAGGGTGGTCTAATTAACCAGAAACTGAAAGATCTACTCAAAGAAAGAAGTACGGAGACAATTGAAACCACACTTTCCAAATATTTTTATGTGCAGATCTCTAAGAAATATTTTTTCTTTCATTCGAAATTTAATATGTCTCCAAAGGTTACATTGAAACCCCAAGAGAAAATACACTTGATTTTCTTTTTAAAATCAAATGAAGTGAAAGAAAGGCAAGCCATGCAGAGATGGTCTCCGTATGCTGTTACGTTTTTCCTGATAAAACGTCCAAAATGAATGGATGACTACAAATGGGTCCAGTATTCTTATTTTCAAAAAAGACATCATTTAAAAACCAAAGACCCAGTTTAAAATGAAAGTTAATAGGGCTGTTCAAATGAAGGTCCGTCAAAATGATTGTTAATTTCATATTTGAAAATACTCAGTAGAATTAAAATTAACATGATTTTTTATATATTTCTTTTCAAGAACAGATCCACAAAAGCGCTTTGGACGCATGCAATTTATAAATGTTGTTTTCATTGTTAAAAGAAATTAATACAAACCATACACAACACTTCTTGAGGAGGTATTCACCATATTTAATTTCTTGGGTTCTTTACGTAGCGCCTGTATTTGCTATTTGATAAATATATATCCCAATGAGTAACTCAGGCTCATAGAAGTCTCTTCTCTCCTTCATGGTCTCTATAAAGTCTCTTCTCTTATTCAACCTTTTGCAAGTTTGTTCTCGATTCTTTTTAGCTCACAGGCAAGACAGGGCCAAGTGAGCTTTTCTCATTACTTGGCATCCGTCGTCGTCGACTGTTTACTGTTTACAAAAATCTCATCTGAAACTACCTGGACAAATTTAACCAAACTTCGGCACAATCATTATTAGGGTTGAAAAATGTGTCCGTTGACCCTGCTTGTCAACAAATATGTCTGACATGGCTAAAAATAAAACATAGGGGTAAAATGAAATTTTTATCTATTATCTTGAAAACTGTTGTGAACAGAGAAAATCTGACATGGATAGAAATGTTCAAAATGATGAGATCTACATATTGTCTATTTACATGAACACT